GAGAGGAGGTTATTTTAGCATAAGAAATGCTGACGGGATGGTTGGTTGCAGATGGGATACAGGCATCTTGATACAGCAAAAATATACGGTTCTGAGCCAGCCGTTGGAAATGCTTTAAGAATGGCAATTGAGGATGAAAGCATCCGAAGGGAAGATGTTTTCGTGACATCTAAACTATGGAGCGCTGATCACCATGATCCTGTTTCAGCACTCAAACAGACTCTACGGTAATTCTACCATACAGAAACGACCCGACCCCTAGCCCAAAGCCATGGAAACTAATTTGAAAAAGCCAAAAAACAAAAAAGATTAAAACTGAAACAAGTGCCTTTCTTGTCTTTGATTTGGTAGTGGTTTCTGAATTTAGCAGTATTTCCCCCTTCAGTAAATTGAAATGATATATGCAGAACATCGAAATCTTCACACATGTCTCACAGACGCCTGATATCACATGAAAGTACGTGTGTAGTTTAACTGTGGACATTTTCAGCTTCAAAGCAAGATGTATAGGATGATAAAAAGGATGAGTTGAAGAAGTTCTTTCTTAGCAAATACTCTAAAGGATTTAGGAAATACGCTAAATTAAGAAATGGATTATTTGTATGAACCGGAAAATTCTGAACTGTATTCAGTGTTTCACTTTTGATAAATGTTGTAGGAACCTGGGGATGGAGTATGTAGACATGTACTTGGTGCACTGGCCAGTGAAACTAAAGCCTTGGGTTTGCTATGCTGTGCCCAAGGAAGAAGACTTTGAGCAGTTAGACCTGGAGTCCACCTGGGCAGGGATGGAGAAATGCTTAGACATCGGCTTTTGCAGGTGCATTGGTGTTAGCAATTTCTCAAGCAAGAAGGTTGAACGGTTGTTAGAATTTGCGTCCGTCCCTCCTGCTGTTAATCAGGTACGTCTCAAAAGTAAGGAACATAAATTTCACAAGAATAAGATGACTAGCAGTAGGCCGTCTTTCGGTGATGGGGCAAAAGCCGAAATTAAACTGCCAGAGAAGAACAATAACAGACATCACCAGGATAGTAGGAATCGAGGTTTGAAATGAACTGATTCATATAGAACTGCTGGTGGTAACCTTAACTCCTTTAATTAATCCCTCAGTTACGTTGCCCTGAGTAATGCTTTCATGCACATTGACATGTGAAAATATAACCGGAGACAGATTAAATATAATACTATGGTAAAAGTCAAACTGAATGCAAAAAGAGGAAGACAAAGGCCTCCAGTAGATTTGATATCCTCCGACTAGAAAGAAAAGGGTTTCAGGGGTTCTAGCCATCATCATGATTAAAACTGTTGATGGGGGTACGTGCAGGTGGAAATGCATCCAATGTGGAGGCAAAGAAAGCTTCGAGAAATCTGCGCCGACCACAAGATCCATGTGAGTGCTTATTCACCTCTGGGAGGGCCTGGGAATGCATGGGGATCCACGGCTGTTGTTGAAAATCCACTCATCAAATCCATTGCTCTCAAACATCAAGCAACTCCAGCTCAGGTAAATCTGATTTCAGTCTCGTTTTTAACATCAGACTCTGTCTGTCTCCACTGAGTTGTAAAGCAGTTATTTACTCCCAAGTTGCAACTTGGGGCGGTAACATAAATAATGTTTTAACGAAATCCTGATCCCATATATGAAGGTTGCCCTAAATTGGGGATTATCAAAGGGAGCAAGCGTGATCGTGAAGAGTTTCAATCCGGATAGATTGAAGGAGAACGTGGCATCCTTCTCCCTCAAATTGGATGATGAAGATCTGCTTGAGATTGACAAGTTGGAGGAGAGGAAGATGATGAGAGGAGAGTTTCTGGTTAATGATACAACAAGCCCATACAAGACTCTTGAAGACCTATGGGACTACGAAATTTGATACTTTTGCAATTTATAAAAAATGTCAAAGATTGTGATATTATCCTTTCCCCTCTCTGTTTTATCCTTTAATTTCCATGTATATCCTGCTTACCCGATTAAACTATTTAAGGTATCCCTCTCCCTCCAATAAATTGTGAAATTATATTTTTGGCCCTCTTGTCCTTTTTATCTTTTTTTTTTTTTTTTTAAAAAAAAGAAAAACGTTCTCCAGAATAGAATTGTTTGTAGGAGAAATTTTAACAGCAATCTCATTCAGCACTGGGCAGATGTTAGATACAGTGCTTGCTTTGGTAGACGTTAGATACAGGGAAGATAAATTCACATGTCGTTGAACTGAGTTGGTGCTTTTGACATGTAACACTTAGAAAAGACACATTGCCTTCACGCAAATATACATGCCTAAAATTCCTCCGATTTCAGGGTTGGACTTGGGAACTAGACATGAGAGTTTAACGGGCAACTTCAGAACTGTCATCAACTCAGCATGATTATGATTAAGTATATAGTATTCGCATCCTTGTCTGTTGAACCAAAAATGCCATAAAAAAAGTATGAATATGCGGTTTAAGCACATTATACAACCAATTCAAATATATTTGAGTTCCTTTTCTAAATACAACATTCAACTAACTAGGATGATAATTTTCAGGATCCAACCAGCTCCAAATTTTGAATTCGTTCATCGCCTAAATTATGTAGAATCAGTATAGTACAGACTTTGCAAGAAGAGGAGGTTTGAGAATTGGCTCGCCTGCAAAAAGTTTCTTATCTAGGAGACAAATCCTTTCCAGTACTCCATTACCCAAGGCATTCCAGCCCAGTATTTGCAAGAATCTTGCTTTAATTTGATTTTGGAAATTGGATCTTATAAAGTTCAGTAGCTTAATATCCCAGGAGTTGCTTTCAGCATCCATCTCATCCCAGCTCTGAACAGATCATCATGAGGATCAATAAGAAAAGAAAAAACTTCAAAACAGGCTTCATATCATATAAAACAGCTCAAACAGGAGACAGCAGATTAAACAAAAGTCAGCTTTGGCTGAGAAACAAAGTAACTACTGTGAATTGTCCTAAAATTCAGGCAGGTGCTGAGAACAGTTAGATTCTCTATCTTCTTCCTCATTTCTTATTCTCTTTTTTCTTTTTTTTTTCTTTGATTTTAGCTCAGCCTTGTATCTTAATCTATATCTGTTTAGACTCAACTGAAACAATTTTCCAGTTTAAGATAAATTTTTTTATATTTAAATAACACATTAAAAAGCATTATCTTCTATATCTATGTTGCACAAAATTTCAAAATTATTTAAGGAGACATTCGTACCTGTGATTGCTCAAGCAAACAACTGCATGTAACCTATTTTTCAGCTGACCGCCTACCATTTTCATTGGACACTGATGAAATGCCTTGCTCAATGCACTATAGAAAGAATTATCAAGAAAAGTTTAACAAATTAGTTTATGCTGGTCGAGAAATATAGGAAAGGCAACTAGTGCTAATATTGTGCAAGATCATTTCAAGATACCGTATGACAGGGATGACTATACTTGTTATGACTGTAAATGACACCCAGCATTGGAAGAAAGATAAATATGCAATACCGAAAAAAAAGAGGGATAACAAAGAGTGAGTTGACAAGTCAAATAATTGTAGTTTTGGAAGTTCTTCCCCTCCTCCCCGCACCCTACCAAAAAAGCCTGGTAATTTCAACATTCTAGCCCGCTCTTATTAAATAATTATCCACCTACCATCTTACAAGCAGAGCATTAATATTAAACACCACAAACTCCTATTAACTCACATCCTATTTCAAACAGAAATGATACATCACCATAACTGCAAACGCCAACCAGATAATACTAGCTATATAAAACAACAACGAAAGAAAAGGACAAACCTAGCAGCTGATATTTCTAACCAGTAAAACAACTTTATCAGGCATAAGAAACAAGGAAAAGAGAGGAGACGGTCTCTGCAAAAAGAGAAAAAAATAAAATATGGAAAAAGATACAGTGAAGTGGCTGTTCCTCAACAAGCAAGAATTCCATTACCCAATCTACACCCCATAGAATCCAAGAAAATTGAAAAAATTCCTTCAAAGGTTTTCTCCCTAAACCCATTATGAAAGAGCTATATAAACCATCTTTTTCATGATCAAAGGACCATTAAGCATCTGAAAGTAAAACCCCAACCAACCAGTAAAGCTAATACACCACCAGCCCACTCTCTTTCCCATAAAAGATAAACAATCACACTCCACACCAGACCCATCCCGTAAATAATTATTAGCTGTCTTTCAAACGATGGTTATTGATCCTAGGCGTCTGGCTTGTGGTGGGGAAAACAGCAAGTAATGAAAATAAATTACAAAATCTAAGTTTCAGCTGAGACTAATTCCTGTTTCTTTTTTGGATATTTAACTTATTAACAAACTCCACTATAAAAGTCTATGAATGTTAAACTGTTTTAGTTTGTCATAATTGAACAGCAATCTTCCTTGGCCACAAACTGAACAGTATAACAATTGCTTTATACTGCCTTTCTCGTCTCAAATTTTAACCATGGCAACATTTCTGGCCTTGTATCACCCAACAAGCATGCTGTCTTTAACATGAGGAAACTGGTGCAAAGCAGAAATTTCCACTATATACAAACTTATTGCAGAATAGTATCTCACTGTGGATATAAATAAGACAATCTGTTTAGCTGAAGTGAAAAATCAAGTTGCATATTTTCCCATCTTCCAACTAAAGGAATCCTTTAAATTTAGGGCCAGTGAAAACATAATGGAGTACCAATAATGTGTTTGACTGCAACTTGCAAACTCATCCGCATTTTCCAGGTTGAAGAGGCTGTCTGATGGCCAAATCAGTTCCGGATTTTACTATTAACAGCTAGATAACAAGTATACCTGAAGAAGATATGCATGCAGCCAATCCAATGTCTGTGGAAATGTGGTCGCTGATACATTGACAACTGTTAAACCCTGTTCCAAGGGACAAAGATACATGAAAAACAAAAAGCCAGAAGGTCCATAAAACTTCAATTTTCAAACAACCAGCCATATAAGAGTTAAAAGAGTTGAGTCAAATTACACCTCTAAAATTATGACAAGTGAGAGTTCAAAAGCCCTGTCGATTTGCTTCCTCTTAAAAGTAAGGTAACTCATTACTCCACACTCTTCATACCATATTAAAAATTCTAGATACTTAAAATGATGGGGCAATCCAAGAAATTTGAAGCATAAGCATACACCATCAGCTGGTATTGCTTACAAAGATAAACCCATGAGATTATCTCGGAGAATGCTAGAATAAAACAATCAAGAATTCCCCTGTATATATACCAATGGACATTTTAGACATGGTACCCTTTCTTTATCAGCAACCTACGAGCACGTTCACCCAAAATATGATGCATGTAATGCTTATGCCTTCATACCCCACAGTCATAACTGACTAGAGACAGGGAGTCAGGCATACAAACATATCCTTTCCAACTAACACTGGTTTTATATCAAATCTAAGGCACCTCAATGTGATTTTGTATTGCTGTAGACTACAACACATTAACTTTTGAAATAAAATAGCACAGAAACACAAGAGGATAGGAAAAAATATTTCATCCTAGCAACCAATAGAAACAGGCATGAAACAGCATACCTGCGACTTGAAAGAGCAAAGATAGTCTTGAATGGTCTTCAAGTTGGTTATTAAACTATTTGTATCCTGTTACGAAAAATAAAAAAATAAAGAATTGATTTTTGTTATAAATTCATCACAAAAGGAAACAGAAAAGTCATTCAAGTAAATAGTTGATCAAATGAATGAACAATAAAAACATCAGTGAGAAGAAAAGGAACTGAGAGTGAGCAAAAGAAAAATCAAGGTATCAGCATGTGCACTTTCAATCAGAAACAACAAAGCAAAAATTTGGCAGACATGAACATGGTTGGAAGCATCATCTCATGCCTTATGGTGCCTCATTACACAGTCCTAGTTGACAAAGGTATATAAACAACACAACAACTCTACAGCTTATGAGAATTTTCAACAATTTACCATGTGCTAAAATTCAAGTCATTTTCATAGTGAAATAAAAGGAGTAAAATACTGCCAATACAAATATAAGGCAACCTATCACTGTACTTGAGATGTCACAATGTTCTAGGCAAGCTAAAAGTAAAGCTTAAACAAAACTGCTCAACAAGTCTACTGTTAACAGAAAATCATCTATATTCAAGGGAAGAAAGCAAATGAATTGGGCTGCTTTCAACCAGCTTTCCAGGACCCACTTTCCACACACCGAATAATGCCAGGGTTACTCTATATTCATCATATATAACTCAGTAACTTAACGAGAGTCCTTGGTTACGGAACAACTATTAACATTCAAGATTGAGAAAACACACTTCAAAGTAGCATAGCTATCAAATTAAGTGTTGTCAAGAGTGCAAAGTGCACGCTAGAAGCAAGAACCCTTATATTGCCTGAGGTGCAAGGCGCAAAAAAAGCACTCGCCTGAATGAAGTATAGTGCAATATCTGTCTGTGTGTCTGCGCACGCGCATTTGTGTGTAAAACAAGCTTAAGATATATAATTCTGATAATGAACTTTAAAGTGCAGTCTATTTTTATCCTACAAAACATGCAAAATTTCCTCTTTCTTTTTTTGGCCATTATGCATGATTTCCTTCTGGTCTCAAGTTTGTCATTAAATACTCAAAAATTGAGAATTAGAGAGTTTGATAATGTCCTTTTTTTACTATTAAAGGTATGGCTAATAAAAAAATAAAAATTAAAGAAATTAAAGATAACTTCAATCAGGTGGGCTTTTTTTGCACCTACCGCCTTAGAAAAAAGCACATCTAGGTGCACCAGGCTTGTGCCTGATCAAATGCACCTCATGCGAAAGTATCTAGGGCACTTTTGTTGTCTGGGACTATGCCTTAGCACCTAGTTGTGCACCTTAACAACACTGATCCAATTAAATATTCTTGACAATTCCATGAAATGTCCCCACTAAGCTGAGTGTCAAAAGTTATTATCTTTCTGTCGAGACAATAGCTACTTGACCTTTATTGTGAGCAATGCAGTTTGTATGGAATGAGAACGTAGAATTGTTATAATACCTTGACTAGACAATTACCACTAAATGTCCGAGTAAGGATCCACTCTTCTAGTAATGCCTGCATATAGACGAAATTGGTTAGAAAATCATGCAAGATTGAGAAGAGACATTACGACGGGGAAGGTAACATATAATCCTAATTAAAGGTAGCCACCTTCATACAAATGTATCAAGAATGACTTCACATGAACCTGATTACATCTTTTTAACATCAAAAACATGCAGCAGTATCTTAGCTTAGACTAATGCAGGGTATAACAGTCAAAGGAACTCATCTGTCTATAAATTTACATTAGCCTTCCCACCAAATGGCATCTTCTTCCCGCAACAAGAATAGTGGAAACTAATCTCCATGCTCCACTGAATGAACCATCTATATCATTGAGAATTTAAAAATAGGGATTTTCTTTTTTCACAAATAAAGGTTCTAATAGTATAGGTTCTACCAAAAGAGAGATTTATAAGGCAAATCAGAAGCAACACCAACATTGGGATCTTCACAAAATGTGAATTGTGAAGTATTGTCTCCTCCACATGCTCAGTTTAGCAATTTGCATGACATGTTACTATTTACTAAAACAAACTAAAACCCACCTACAATCTTTTCACATTACTATTTAAAGCTGGGAATATAAGAGTGGAAAGAGAAAGCAACCATACCTTGTGATCAAATTCAGCCATATTCAGAACTATTGGTATTATTATTGGTTCAGAGCCAGATTTTTCTTTTCTAGCAGTAGTTCTATTTACGTCTGGTACCTTAACAGTTTCACCTGCAGGAACACAACTCTGTTAATAAACTGTCATCCTGCACCTCCACTTATTTTCTAATACTGATACATGCACATGAAACAGTGCTTATAAAATGGAGCTAGATGCCATACCACACACAAAGAATTGAGAGCAAAAGTCTACCTTTATCATCTGAAGCAGTTGATAGAGCAATAGACTCTAGATATTCCGAGACTTTATTCACCTGGTCAGCAGACACACATTCATCCAAACTCAAATGCACAGGACGATTTTGGCTATCTTCAGTATGACTTCCAAATGCACTTGTGGAATTATTTTCCATTTGCACTGCAGAATTATCATTTGATGCTTTTGACAGTGGGGCCGCTTGATGTCCTTCAGGCACACTGATTGGAATTTTATGCTCATCTTCCATTAAATAAATGCTTGGATCCAAATGTATTCCCTGTTATTGTCATAAGAAATAAGGAAAACTAGCTAACTTCAAAGTGACACGCATAAAGTGCACAAGAACAAGCCAATGCTTCCCAATCTCATGCAATGACCAGGTGGAAAAATATTACACAATACTTAGCAGATTATAGCCTTCCTTAAGGTTTGCAGCGAGAAAAAAAAAAAAAAACAAATATGAAGGCAGTCTACAAATTCCAGAAAGAACAGTTGTCTGCAGGGTAACATGGTAGCAGATCCAAACTCAAACTTCACCCCCAAGAACAAATCATGTGTTTGGCATGCATGTGTATTCAAAGACGTACAACCATGCTCCTCTAGAACATCCATTACTGCCATATCATCTTATTTTAACCATTAAGTTCATCAAACCATGGACAACCATAAGCCAAGAAGATCAACAGAAACCTAAGGATGGAAGTTCAATTTTGAGCCAAAATAACTGAAAATGCAACAGACTCTGTACAGTACAATCTAATCATTCATGGACAGAAGCCCATAACCAACCAGACTCTAGGCTTATTTTAATGTGAAAGCTCAAAAATTCACGTGTCATACCCTGTCACGATCACTGCTACAAAGACAGACAACACATGAGACTACTTAATGGCAATGCTATACCACATCATAAAACTGTTTGAATTTGTTTTCAAGATAGCACCAACGATCTTATTAAAAAGTAAACAAATCAATGCAAACAAAATTATATACGAACCACAAGCACTCAAAACATAATGCACTCTATGGGCATGCACCTCGCAAAGAGAAAAAAGAGAGAAGAGTAAGCAGGGAGGGCTCCAGGATGGAGGTTAAGGAGGATGTTGGCAAAAGAATGAAGTTAGCAATCCACTGAAAAACCATACCTCAATTATAATTGGCTTTCCATCTTTCATTGCTTTTTTTAGATCCCCATTCAAACCTAGGAACCAAAAAACACAACACCAAATCAATGACAAATATACCTTTAAAATACAATAATAAAATTCATATCTCGGATGATAGAATACCCATGACATGTATTAGGTTGTTACATTTCTCTTTGCAGTCTCCCACTTTTACACAAATAAAAGAAAGATGAAATTGCACAGTAGCTAAATGGGAGTTTTAGAAACTACCTTTACGAACTATCCTGCATTCTCGACAAAATTCAGTAATTAACTCCTCGGAGGAGCTGAAATCTCGTGCCCATACAGGAGTAGATGCCAATGGCGCACTGAAACAAATAAGAGAAGTAAGCATTGTGTGCACCATAAAAAATATACATTAAACGCTATACAATCTGTTAAAAGTAGGGGATGTCAGGCCAATCCGTTGCACATTCAAAGATGAAGTTTCTATTAAGACAATCTCACTTTCCTAACAAAGATGGATAGAGAGAAACAATGAAAAATTAAAAAAAAAAAAAGGTTTAAATCTGACATACTATTCAGTTTAAGTTAGTGCCTTTTCTTCTACGTTTATATAGAGTAGCAAGTGATCAGGGAAATAAACTTCTAATATTGTAATCAACACATTGCTGAGGTAACACTTCTCAATTAGGAAAACCTTCCTATGATGTTTAAAACAAATCCCATGTTCCTAACTCCTAAAATATGACTAGAACAACCAATTACTGGTAAGATCAACTGTTCTCCTTCGTTAAAGCCAGAAAATGCATTATTGATACCCATCCTTTTATTTACATGGAGCAGTGATTTTATTTGATCATCAAATTTGAACATTGGAATAAAAAGCTAAATAATATAAGAAGAGAAGAAAAAATAGATTCTAGACATACTCAGTTGATGTGCGTAGCAACTCATAAACCATATCTGTCTGAAACAATTGAAAACAAAAATGTAAAAGTACCAGCAAACACAAAAACATAATGAGCCATCAAGGAAATATGGAAGAAGAAAATCTCAAAAATTTCAGCAGATAAAACAGAAGGCTGAACCTGTAAGACATTCGGCAAGTTTAGCCTCTGTGCAAGTTGTGTAGCTATTGTAGACTTCCCAACACAGGCAGTTCCACAAACAAGAATTACCAAAGGAACCCTTTGATGGTGAAACCTGAAAGTAATAAACAAGAAATATAGTATTAGAACAATGAAGCAACACTTAGAAGTTCCCTATAATATTTTTTCTCTACTACTTTCAGTCAGGTGCAAGCAATCAGTCACTGATAAAGGTTCCATGCAAGATCAAAATAAAAGCTATTCTAACATTAAATTAGCGTGAAGACATGCATTGAACCCAGACCTGTGATAACAGTAGATTATCTAGTGTAACAAACTGAAGGCACACATAAGACGGGAAAAATTATCGTTAGACAAAATAAGCAACCACTGCAATCACACAGTTAGCAGACTTTCTAGAGGTAAATTAGCTTTGATGTCACTAAACATTCATAAAGTTGTTGAAATGAAAATTTCGTTCCAGAATAAGCACCAGAAAATTGTTTGGCAAGATCTTGAAAAGCTAACTGACCTGGTCATCATCCTGTACCGATTGATATACTCTTCTCCATAACCTCGCCGCTCCATAAGCTGAACAAAGAGTCTGATGAGAAAGTTTGATGATCGAAACTACATTCAATCTCCAAGAAGTCTGAAAATGCTCTCCACTCTACTTTTCATCCAATATGACTTATTCAGAAATGTTATGAAGACATACCTTAAAAAGATTCGCTTCCAAATCAGACTGCGAGCTGCAAAAGAATAGAATTAATAAAAAAAAAAAAACTCCCACTAATCTAAATCACGAAACTAACAAACAAAACAGAAAAAAAATGGGAATTATACACATCCAGAAGGCTGTTGTCTATGAGCAGCTTCTTGAGCTCCAGAGCGATTTTAATTGCTACATGGTTTGGAATCTGAAACCGCCATGTCATAGCGATAAAAATAAATAAACAAAAAAAACTTTGAAGATATTATCATATAACATAGAAATAATAAGAAGTGAAAAAAAATTAAGCGTTTCAAGTTAGCATGTTTTAAGAAAAATTTAACATTTAAAATTTAAAAAGAAAAAGAATGGAATAGAGACCTTTGTGACAGTTAACATCCTGCTAAGTAAGAATCTGGATAAGACATAATAGTGATCGGCATTATCACCCAACCAGACCTTCACCTACAACGCCAAAAATTAAAAAAGTATAACCATAAAAATGTAAGCTTTTATTTAAAATTCATTTGCTAGATGGATTTGAGAGAGAGAACCTTGACGAAGTCGTATTTGGAGGAAGCGTTGCGAGGACTGGATTTGGCAGAGGGGAAAGAGGGACTCGTAATCTTGCCATCGTCTTCACCTTCGCCTCTGTGATTCTGGTTAGCTCTTGTCCGCACTGCAATTCCCTTGCCCTTGTTGGTGTTCATCATCATCTTCTCATACTCTTCCATTTTCATTTTCTTTTCTTATCTGTTCTTTTCTATTCTTTTCTTTCCTTTTCTTTTTGGATTTCAAAATCAATGCTCCAGGCTTCGATACCCTTCCCTCGCGTTAAAATCGCCACTGTCGATTTCATGGGTAAACCCGCATCTTTGCCACCTCACCACCTATATCAGCATCTCAGTAATTTCTTTGTTTTATTTATATCATATAAAGTCTGTCCAATCGGAAGAGCTTGCTTCATACGGCAACTGAGCCCGTGATGCCAACATTGTAACGTGGTATGCTATGTAAAGGCATTAACCTGTTGACATGTCGATACCATATGTCTCAAAGGCGAAAGGAGGGGTTAAGTGGGAGCCCCGCTCTCTTAAAATTCTAAAATTTAATCATTTCTTTTTTTTTTTATTTTATAAATTTACTCTCTATTTTTTAGAAAAAATTTATGCTTTCGTTTATACAAATATTACATTTTTTTTTTCATCTCCTTGAACGTGAAATTCTGACTTTATTATTAACGTACTAGATCAAAAAAATTTAAAAAAAAACAAATTATATCTTATCATAGAAATTTAATTACATAAAAATATATCATATAAAAATTAAATTAATAAAATTAAAATATTAAAAAATTAAATATAAATATTTAAAAATATAAATATTTAACAGATAATAGATATATATATTAATAAGTCAAATACTTAAATTAAAAATTTTATAATATTAAAAAATATACAAAAATATTTTCTTACTTAATTATGTAATTTTAAAAATATACATTAATTTACCTTCTTCATAAAAATTAAATTTAAATTCTTCTTTTATAAAAAATTTTGAAAAAAAAATCAAATTTGATAAATAAGTTACATTATGTTAAAATAAAATAATATAAAAATATTAAATAAATTTTTTTATTCATAATAATATAAGAATTAAAATTTATTTAATTTAAATTTTAATTGAACTGAATTCAAATTAACAAAATAAGTTGACATTTAATTTTATTGTTGATATATAACAAATAGCACGGATAAATTAACTAAAACAATCAATGAATAACCCAAAACAATATATATATACATAATTATGTGTGGCGTTGGCAGTCGTTACTGTAACATAACTATATGATAAACTATACTTTTGAATAAATACCCGAAAGATAAAAACAATTACTTGTATAATTTTGAATGCTATTTTTCCAGACAAGCAAGAGCAGCATAAGTACCCAGAATCCTTCCTCTGATATTTTAGTACTAATATTAATTTACACAACCGTGCAGATTGCAGAACTGCGGTACATCGTCTCTAAAACAGACCCTACTGCTAAACCCTGCTAAAGAGATGCGGGAGAAAAGGTATAAAGGAAGATAAAAGGAATAAGTTAACGTAGCCTACAGAAATTCATCTACCAGGATGCTAATAAGAAGTGTTTTACATAATAAACTACACCAATATTTGGCAGTCACATGATGACCCTTTTTCTCTGCTTGCTAACCTAGTTAGTCTTAAGCAGAAAGGAAGGTGACTGAAAAATTACTATGATGTTAGAAGTACATCGTGCCTCATGTTTTACTACCATGTTTGCTAATCTTTGATGCTAGAAATTTCAGTGCCTCATGTCCTCTTGAAAAATTTACCACCTCTTTTTCCCATGCCAGTTCCTACAAGAGTTGATGCAAGCAGAGATTTGGCGTCCGGCCTCCACCTCAACTCTTTAAGAATAGAGAATAAGGTTGCAAGCGCAGGAGAGATGTCGCTTTCCTTTATGTTCTTGCAAGATACCACTATAAGGTTTTCAAGTTCATGCCAGGAAAGAATCACGGCTTCCAGACCTTCAGTTGTCAGCAATGAGCATCCTTCTAAAGATAAGAACTTTACTCGCCTGCCAAAAAGAAATGACTGTTAAGTCTTTTTATCAAAGACAATGTTGGTTATTTGAATTCTAGTTCCTAGACCAGGTGGTTGTTGTAAATAATTGATGCTCATCATAATTCTACCTAACAACATTACAAATCACACATTTCAGGCAGGAATCTAACCACGCGTCATCACACATTTCAATAACTAGTTAGCCTGCAAACTGTGAGTAAAAACAGCACACTACCTGAGGTATATGATTTAGCATGTGCAAATTAATAAAAAGGCAATTGTAAAAGTAGGGAGTGCTCATAATTGTACTTATCCAGTCCAAGCCAAACAAGCCAAATCCACATCTATTTGCACACCTGCACATTACAGTTAACGTAGTAATAGACCAATGCTAACAATCATTAGACCATCATTACACAGCTCAGCATTTGAAAATCAATGGCCAGAGACTCTCATCGTTGCAACAGAAAGTGACCTTTTTTTTTTCTTTCAGGCCACATCAACTACACAAATGGACTGCAGAAGTAGAATATAGAACTTAAATGAATCCCTGACCAACTCTACATTAGCTCCTAAAGTAAAACATCTTCCATGAAACCACAAAACAAGGGGAAAAAAGGCAAAGAACATTATAAAGAACAAAGTGAAAACAATCCAGTACCTGCAAACGCTAGCATAGCTGAACATATCATTATCAAATCCCCAGCAGTCCTGAACAACAACCTCTCTCACAGCTTCACATACTCTAAACAATGCTCTCACACTTTTCTTACTCCGCAACTGACACTTCTGTAAATGCAACCGCTCAAGAGCCAGACAAAAACCCAAATACTCATCTGGACCCGGACTCAAATCAATCCTCTTACAAGACAACAACTTCAAAGTCTTCAAATTCTCACAAAAAGACAATGCAGCCAACCATCCATCATCCATTCTATGATCAGAGATAGTCAGCTCTTCAAGCATTAAACAACATTGCCCTATCGCTTTGATCCCATCAAAACTACCTTCACATCCACTAAGCTCAAGCTTAACTAACCTCTTACACCCTTGAGCTAAAATAGTTAATCCAATATCGGAAACCAACGAACTATAAAGTCCATCAACGTTTCCAACAAGTTTCAGGATTTGCAAATTCTCACACGCCGCAATCCCGCGTAAAACATTGTCGTTACACTTGTGTAACTCCAATTCTTGCAATGTCAAACATTCTTCAGCCACAGTTAACAACCCTAACTCACTGGCGTTAATTACCACAAGTCTCCGAAGATTTGGGCAGCCATTGGCAAGTGCTTGAAGCCCTCTATCAACAACTTCAACAGGCAATAGATTTGCTTCCAAAAGCTTCCAATTTGAACAAAAATCCGAACTCGTTTGCATCTTAACCATCCGATGAGTTAACAGAATCCACGAATTTCGCGGCGAAAACAGACAGCCGTTGAGCAAATCCACGTTGGTTAAGTTCGGGAACCTGGTGATCAACCGACCTGATTCGAGAAAGTCCCAATCTAGGATCTTTAATGACCGTACGAGGCGGCCTTGGAGATTGAGCCACCGCTTGCAGACGAGGGAGTTAGGGTTTCGTTGCGAAATGGGTAGTCTTGAGAGGATTTTTAAGAGGAGTTCGTCGGGTAAAAGAAGGGTTCGGTCGATGTTGGCGAATTTGGCGATTAGGGTTTGAGATTTGGGGTCTTTTGAAGCCAAAGACTGAAGCTGCATAGCGAAAACCACATGCTTTAATGGCTTGGTGTTTTTGAGCCAAATGTCTGACCAGCTCGGTGGTCTCTTCTTCAACGGCGAATCTAGGTTTTCCTCCAAAACAGACATCGTCTTTTAACCAATGCCTTCCTCTTCTCTTCTTCTGCTCTGTTTCAGCTTCAGCCACTGGCTCTCTGACCTTTCTCCTCTTCTGCCTACTCCACAAAATTACAATCTCAATGCTCAGATTTTCTTTTCCTGTGACAATTGTACAGTTTTCTTCTCCGCGAGAAGACAGAGACGGGGATGGCGGAGTTTCCTTACTTACAGTTCAGTCTATGACTTCGATGCGGCCAACGGATTTCTTGAAGGGGTGGGGACGGGTTTTTTTGAAAATAAACAATTTATTTTTCTTCTTGTGGCGCTTTTGGTTCTCGCTTTTTGTTTTTATTGGATATTTTGAAAATTTTGTTCTTACCTACGCAGGAATAGAGAGGGTTTGGACTTTTGGAGTAACACGTAGAGAAAAGGAAAGGCAACCCATAAAAGGCTATATTTTGGGGGCTCACGCTTTCATTTGAATTTAATGGGGTAAGCTTTTCATCTTTAAATGAACTTTGCTTCGCTGGATATAAGATTGGGATTAAAAGGTGATTGGATTATTATTAGACTATTATACTTAGTATTTAATGGGGGAAAACTGTCAATGATCACAGTTAACAAAAGCGAAATCTAAGCTCCTTTTTCTTTCTTTATTGTAAAAATATTTTGCTAAATTTATCATTATAATATGCCATTTTATCATCTACTAGTTTCATCTTTATGAAATCTAAATAATTAAGAATTTTAAATCACTATCTATTTTACTATCTCTCTCTCTTGATGTAACATTAATAATTTTGCTTTTTTCTTAAAGTAATTGCATGAAAATCTAAAATAATGAATTAAATTATTAAAATGGATAAACTTTCTCCATCAAATAAATTAATAACTTTTCATACTGAATTAGATTTTATAGATCAAAGTTCATCAAATGCACATACGTGTCTGTATTATACTTTATCTTGAATTCAATATTTACTAACATGATAATGTATTTTCTTTAAGCAAAAAAAAAAAAGAAAGAAAAGGGAAAAGGAGAAAGGAGAAAGGGGTAGAGAAGAGAGGATAGTGGAAATGTAGAGAATGGGTCATGAAGAAAGCTTAGCTCATGCCATGGGGTGTCCGTTGTCCCGTCAAAATAGCCGTTGGATAGCCGTTCCAAACTTCAAAATCTCGCTTTTCGCCGGTGGGACACCAACTTCTTTCTCTGTCCAACAACAGGCTGAACACAAAGAACAACATTGTAATAAGTAATACGGTTCGGTTAATTAATGCTGATAGGCATTTGATTAAAATTTTATGTAAAGAAAAAAAATTTCATTCAATATATAGTATATGAATAAAAAAAACATTTATAAATACCATTTTAATATTTATTTATAACTCATTTAAATAAAAACGCAATTTATGTTCCTCCTCTAATCCATTTTTCAACAAATCTAGATCTTCTTGCAGTCAATTTTTTCATATTTTATTAAAAGTTAATTCTCTTAAATATACTGAAACTACTTTTTGGACAAAGCAACATGATCGACACCTTTAAAACGAAATGTGAGTCGCCTATGGAGAACTATAATATGACCCATTTCATCAAAAAAATATAAAAGGAATTTGTATGGGTCCAGCAAGGCAAGAGGTAAAGAAATTCAATAAATAAAATCAAATATAAAAATCCTCTTTACTCCTTAACAACAGTGGATAGCATATCTCTCAATTTATTTATCCTTTTTTTTAATTAGAATAACATGATAAGTCTTGAGACAAATCAGTTATGTCATATTTTAATTTCAAAGGTAATCGGTTGAAAGCGTTTTAGATAGATCTGATATTAATTCTTTGCCTCAACTTTATGTTTGCACTGTTAAAACACATATTCAACTTTCCAAAATAATCCAAAATTTCAACCGTAAAAGCTTCTTATTTTTTTCTTTTTGATGACTGACGAGGTGGGTTAACCCCGTCGGTAAAAACGACTTCTTCTGACTTGACGAGGATGGATTTCTCCATCGGGGAAAAGCCCATCAGCCGGAGCACAGCATTCTTCATTTGATTCGAGACGGTATATGAACAGATATGATTGAGAAAACAAGATTTTCAGACTCAACGGTTTCATTACTCAGAAAACTACATGAAAATTCTTTAGGTAAGAAACTTAAAAAGTACACGGGGAAGACTTGAGTAGACCGGATGTTATTGGTAAAATTTGAACATTAAAAACATTGAAAATGATGATTTCTTGATAAGCTAATCAGAAGATTAAAAATAAAAGGGTAGACAATTACTTGCTGAGAATGAAGATTTTCATGATTTTTTAACTCATCGGTAATTATTAAAAACAAAAAGAAATAAGGTATTAAAATAATTGGGTAATAACAAATAGTGAAGATCCTTACCAGAGAAACAATCGAAACGTCTTTGGGATCTGTACAAAGTTGTAAATCGGAAGTCGTACAATAGAGGAAATTAACAGAAGTCACTATACCGTCATGGAAAGACAGGTACACTGTACAGTATTCTTGGCTGGCCTTGGGAAAACGTAGGTACACTGAACAGCCGTATTCATTATCAAGTTCGTCAAAGTTATAAATTCAACTGAGCTGTCAGCCGGAGTGATCATCCACGCAAAATTTTCATAACCCGAAGGGTAACTAGAATTAAACAAAACCCAAGTAATAAATGGATTTGAGACACATAAAAACACCTCCTTTCTGTCCTTTTTCATGCGATATTCATTCAACTTCATATGTGCTAGAAATGCAAAACACAAACTTTATAAGACAAAAGGAACAAAGGGGGGATATGGAAAGTATGACTACTTAATGGAATACATAGAAAAATATGCCTAAAAAAAATAAAGCCATCTAAATAGACAGTCAGTGGGGAGCTGCCATCTGTTTTGCCTAACTGCAATCATGAACGGGGGGCTGCCATCTGCTGTTTCTTTATCCTCTCACCTTGCTTCACCATGCTGTATCAGAAGCAGCAAAATGTTTTTAAGTTAAATTTGTTCTACATAACAAACAGAGTATTCATCACTTACTTCATATTGGATTTGAACATGACACTAACAAACTTATCACAGATGACAATTCGGCGGCAGGAGAGTAATGTCTTTGCTATTACTTTTGTTATTTTTTATAGGACATCTATTATTGAGACCCTATGAATCAACTCAAACCTCTAATTCATACTAGAACCATAACAATTTGATAAAATCTTCAAACAAAGTCCATAATTATCTTGGCATTGGATCATTCCCTATCAGATGAAAAAAGAATCGTAGTCTGGCGTCATAACTCGACATCATTATGGTATTATTCATGGACAAAGTTGGGAAATTTGAATTTTCAAAATTAAGCATAATGATGTTTGAAAATTACAAACATTCAAAAAAAAGATGGTAGGAATCTAGTACCCAGCTATATGTTCTCTCCTATGCTAAGGACGAAGTTGGGAATTCAAAAAATTTTTAGAGGTAAAATGGTCCATAAAACAGTATTTCTATTCCTTAAGGTAAGGAAAGGGCCCGGAATAGACCCATTGACCAGAATGGTCACTCCCCTTCAAATTTTGAACCATACTATGGAATAAACCTCCATCCAGAATAGACCCAGAATGGAATGCTTATTCCATTCAACCAAACATGATGTAAAATGGACCAATGATAAAGCATTTCAAAGGATTGTTTTGCAATTTGCAAATTGAAATTTTACTGTATGCTATTTTACTTTAGATCAGCACCTTAAAATTACTTTAGATCAGTCCTATGCTATTTTCTCCAGTCTATAGAATGCTAACTTATAGGTTCTGAGTTTTGAGACATGGTCTATAAATTTCAAAAAATGTTGTTGGATATTGAAGATTTAATACCAAATATACTATTTCTCAACATATTTCATTGCTTTTTTAGGAAAGTCACTGTGCAGAAAGAGAGTAGGATTTGATAAAAGAAAAAGAAACATGGAAAGGTGGGAGGTCTATTAAGTACTCAGAAAGAGGAGAATTTGGACAAACATATCCAAGTACAAACAATAACCTGATATCATGAGGTGTGATAAATATCCATTGGGATCCTTGTGCCAGTGCAAACTCAACTAAAGTGTCCAAACTGATTTTTCGGCTAACTGCATCCTGGAGAAAAACATAATATAAATTTTCTCAGCCACAATTTTAAGCCTCTTGAAGGACAATCACATTTACTTAATCCCAAGATATATGGTGATGTTAAGTGACACCAAGAAAAGAAGATATGACACCCCTGCCACCCAAAAAAAAAAAAAAAACTCACCATAAACACATCAAACTCATCCATTGCTCGAAATGGGGCTTCAGTCATTTCATGAAGAGCCAGTGCAAAGCATAGCGTTGAGAAGGACCGCTCCCCTCCTGGTCAACAAATTATCAAATATAGCAGTGGAGTTACCATTAACGAATTATGAAATTGTTTAACTCATCTAACCCTTAAATTAAACGACTCAGAAGTAAAATATTCCAAATAAAGAAACAAATTTTCGGATTTAATAATAGTCATGAAGCCACTAATAGAGAATTTTATATGGCCATGGACTCGAAGTTCAAAAGCACAGTATGTAAAGCATATGGAGCAGAAGAAAACCTGAAAGTCCTCTTGTATCACGAACAATGCCACTTGATGCATCTTGAGGCATTTTAACCTGTTAAAGGGATAATGAGAATCAGGAAAATCCAATAAAATACGAAAAGTAGGAAAAACAACTTCAAACTGGCCAGGTGACCAGCACAAAGACATAAGTAGTGGATTTAAAACTTAACACTCAAAAGAACAAGTAGAATTCAGATAGCTTACCTCTACTGAAAGGGTCTTTTCTTCATAACTAACATTAATGTGTCCGCTGATACCTTTCTTTCCCAAATGGCCATTGAATCTAAATGTGAAGATTAACCAACTAGGCATTAAGGAATTGAATAGAAGCCTCCCACAACAAGAAAAGAAGAAAATAAACACTCTTAAAGAACACAGATTAAAAATTGCAAGAGGCTCGATCCATACTGCCAAGTCAACTCGCGCTTAAGAAGAGATGCATTCCGATTAAACTTTTTCCAACGCAAGTCAAGAGCTTTTTGACAAGCCTGCAATGTAAGAATGCAAAGAGCAGGAAAAAGGTAAAAAAACTACAAACAACCACCAATCATTTCTTTCAGAATTCTAAAATTAGGAGAAATAATATTATGATGAAACAATTACCAAATGCTATATAACCTACAAAACAGATGAAAAAAGTTGCACATCAAATGCTAAATTACAATTATTAACCACCCTAAAAGTTCAACCTCTAAGATCTACAAAATAACATGTCCAGCTGATAAGTGCCAATGCAGGCTATTATTGCATATCACTCACTTTATTGTCTTTATATCATACCAGTAATTATAGCTAAATCCAAACAAGACAAACAACAAATTACCATTTCTACTCAGCAGATATAATACTAATAAGGTTATACATCAAAAAGCTAAAACTGAAATGAAATCCAGATACACGCTACCCAGCTTTAAGGTACCTACTTTGACCTCACAGCAGGTTATCCAACAGTCATACCTTCCTCATCACATAAATTTTTCAAATATTTACAAATCTTTTTCATCAAAGGTTCTCTTATTTCTTGGAAAGTACTTGTTGACTTTAAAACCCTGCCCACCACCAACCACAAAAAAAAAACAGAAAAAGCTTTCCTCCTTTCCTTTTCTCTTTTCAGGTCTCTTTCCCTTTCAATGCCAAATTGTTCCTTATGTTGTAACCTTTATAATTGCAGAGAAGAAAAAGTAATGAAAGATTGGTAGCAAGACAGAATGCTCAAGAACAATTTATCTGAAGAGTTAGACCAATGAACCAGCAAAACCTTCCATGGGCAATGACAAACAGCAGCAAAAGCCAGCGCCTTGTAAAATGGCTTTCTCCAGCAAATTGTCATCTTTTCCAATAGTTTCTTATTTCCTGTTCCCCCACTCTACAGCAGGGCCAGAGAAAACAACCAGAATATCCTTGCTCTGTATGAATTTCTAAAATACCTTAGAAGGCATAAAATTGAATCAACTCTGAAAAATTTAGCTTCATAATATAAAAATTTTTGAAACAAGCAGAGCTTCAAGGAAAAACTAGCGAAGTAAAATGCTAATAATCCTCTAAAGAGAAGTGGCCATCCATGCAGTGATTTAGGAATGAACACTAACTGGAACCAAGGTACACCAACTTGAGCGCTATAAAAACTCAGTTGCAACAAGGTTGGCCACATCAATGTTATAATAGAGTCCAATGTCAAATACAAGAGCAAATCGAGCAGAGTGATGCTTACATCTAATTTTTCTCGAAAAGCTTTATACGTTTGCAGTTTCCTTAAAATCTTATGTTCTTTCTCCTGATACAACATCCTAAGATCATCAATTGATTCCGAATATCTGCAAAAAATAAAAGAGAACATAGAATTTAATTGTAGGTAGATATTTGAGTATTTTAAAGATAAAAATTAAAAATAAACCACTCGCAACTGATGGCTCTCATGCTTAAGTCTCTGATTCAGTCTGTTTAAGTGGGCACTTAGTTGCTCTGGTGTGCTTCCATCCCAACCTCCTAAAGCTTCAATTTCACTCTCAGGACAAATAACAGAAGCCTTTCTATAACTCTCCTGCAATGTTGCCAAAACATAACATGGACTACAAATCATAAAGACAATTCAAATAATTGATTGCTATGTATAGATAAGCATAAAATCAACCTTTCGACTGTTTTCAAGATCCAGATATTGTGCCTCTGCCTCCTTGATAAGAGGAAGAACCTTGTCATTCATAACACTTTCATAATGGGCCCTCAACTGAAACAGAATTTTGATTTCTGAATTCAAGTTTCTACAGAGCAATTACAGAAGTAAACAAAAAATACAAAAGTTGATGGGGAAAGAAGGTAGACCGCTTGTGCAGCATTTATTTCTTTCTCTATCTCTGTTAGCTCCTCCTCTGCTTTCTGAAAGGCTACAATCTCCCCTTTTGTTGACTCTATAATTCATATTAAGGGTATATTAAATGAAAGTAAAAACATGTGCACAATTGAACTAAATCATAAGCATAATATTATTGTAATAATACCGCCTAAATCCTCAAATGATAACTTAAGAGTTCTGGCCTTTGCTTCTGCTTCAATCATCCTCTCTCGGAGTGTTTCTAGCAATGCTTCCTTCCGCTGGATCTCCATTTTAACATTCTAAAAGACAATTCACATGAGGAAGATATCATTTGAAAAAGGTTATTAAGTTAATCAAATTATTAAACTAGAAAAACAAAGTATACCCTAGACAATCATGGAACAAACCGAAATTTCTTGAAGAAGTTCATTAGTAGTTGACTCAGGTGACACACCAGCTTCAGCAACAAGTAAATTCTGCACATCCCGCAGTTTCATGCTCTTTGCCGTCAAATCACGCTCTACATCCAAGCGCCTTCTCTACAGAACACAAAAGGAATGAAGCATCCAACAAATTAACATAGTAGCACATATGGACCCAAAAGAGAAAGAGACAACAAAGAAGAAAATCAAAGGTATCACTAGGGGAGAGATGGAGTCAATTTTTGCCATTAGTAATAATTGCACCCACAAGCCTATGCACAAATTGAGGCACACACTTGATTTGAGTAAACAACAAGACAGATTTACTTTTCAAGACAGGAAACATAGTGTAAAAAAGTGGAGAAACCCTGAAAAAACAACACTGAGGGTTTTTATCTATCAGATCTAATGGATATAACATTGTGCAAACCATATAAAGATAATAGACATAAATCCTCCAAATGCTACTTACATTTCTCAAATTACATGAAATTGAATAACAGTGTAACTTTGAAGAATTAAATATATCAACAACATCATCAAGAAGCCAAAAAGCCTGGAACTCCATTTGGCCTCAAGGGGACAAATGAATGAGACAAGTACCATAACACAAGTCAGGCTCATGTAAAAGTTCTTCTACATAGATAATAATGAAAGGAAAAGCTAAGGTACCACAATGTCAGACTAGTACTAAGCTCCAAAAAAAAACAAAAATGAGAAGAAAGGGACAGAGAGGACAAAAACAAAAGAAAGAAGAAAGTAGAACAAGAAAAGGCTGCACCCTAATTTTAGCACACTATTGTTACCTTCACATTATGTAGCCTGCTGTCAAAATCCCAAAGCTTTTTCTCTAACTCCCTCTTCCTATTCTTGCACTGTTTAATTTCTACATCAACACTTGATGCATGTTTTTCAAACTCCTTAATTTGATCATCAAAAGAACCACAAAGGCGACCAATTCTAAGCTTTTTATTTGAGGGAAGAATTGTCTGGACTGAACCACGTGAAAACCTGAGAAGTCAGTAATAAATCCAACTCAGAGACTGAAAATCCAAGTTTTGCTGGTAAGGAAATATAACATAAGAACGCATCCAATTTACAATAACCAAAAGCACCACAAGCACAAGCATGCCTGTGCAAACCAGTCAAAAATAACAAAGGTTAAATTGACATAACTCAAAGGTCAAATCATTTTCATTTTTCTGCCCATTGCGAGACTAGATTTCATAAAACACCCAAAATGGTTGATTCAACCACCTGAATATTGGAACACTGAAATAACTTAACATTAAATATTTCCATTTGCCGTTTAAAAACATGGAAACACAATATCTATTGTAGACCATCAGCCTTTATATTCAAATTAGTGTTTATCCATAGAGACTATTATCCTAGGGCGTAAATCGCTAAAAACCCTGATCTTCATTTGTTTGCATAAAACATGGTAAGGATCAGTCGAAAAAATTGCATGACTAGTAAGAAGTATCCTCTTCCACCCATTCCTAAAACCTCATGAAAAAATACTATACAATTTCCTCATAAGATTTCTTCTTCTTCTTCTTCTTCGCTTCTGTCTATTCCTTTTTCTTGGCTGCAAAATATTAGAAGACCCCATAGAACAATTAGTAGAACCTAAAAAACTTCAAACAAAGAATCATCCATTCTTTAAAACCCATTGGCCTTATGCACCATTCTTACACATCAATTTATTGGGTCATATTAAAAACCGTCACTCCTAAGCATTATTTTTGACATTTAGACATCAAGGAAAAAGAAGCCCGTACTTCCTGGCTGTCAATGTCAGTAATCATGCCCACACTTGGTCATTCCTGCAATCGTTTGTTACAGATTGATACAGGAAACTAGATTCCAATTGGAATTTGGATTATAAATTTTTGAATTCCAAGTCTTTCAATTAAAATTTATGAATTTGAAATACATTTTAGGGATAAATCTAAGATTTGAATTCAGGATTTAGAATAATTTTATTACACTTTGAGAAAGGAGCAAATTTTCTTTAGGCAGAATTTGACAAAACATCAGCATCACAAAGTAATTTGAAATCTTAGATTTGGGCCCTTTAGAATTGGTAGTAGATTTGGCCCAAACTCAAATTCTGCTACTTTAAATCTTTCCAAACAATATATTTATATTTAAAATCCAAATTCAATTCCCACTCACCTAAATAATGGTTCCCAAAAGGACCAATAATAAACAGTAAGAGTAAATGAAAAAGATAATGCATAAGGACATGAAAGGAGAGATAAAATTAATTCTTGACTTACATTCTAAACCCATCTAAGGTGAAAACCTCCATCAAATTCGGTATTCTTTGGTCAAATGCAACTGCTCTTCCAATGTTGTAATCTTTAACAAGAACTTGCCTCTCAGCTTTAACCTGAAAATATATAGAAAGTTATTTCAAGACATTGATGGGCAACAATGGCTCCTTAGAACAAGTATGCAAAAGAAGAACCAAGCCCATGCCCCCGCACCCGAGCATTTGGCTCATTGGTTGGTACATGATCCCCTACCTAAAAAGCAAGGTTCGAATTCCCCTTCCCCCAATTAAAAAAAATAAAAAACCAAGCCCATGCGCCCTGCCAAACTGTCCAACCCACCCCACTGGAAATAAAAAAATGGAAAATTCTAAAAGAAAGAATAGAAATTACCAGAGTATTGTTAAAAAGGAAGAATATGTACAATAGCAGATTTAGATTAGAAAATTATTATGAGAATGTAAAATTACCGTATCTACCAGAACATTAAAAACAGTAGGATTATCAGAACGTAAAACAGATAGAGTAGTTGGGTGCTTGGTCTGGGGAAGCGAGTGATTTGGTATATTCAACCTACAACAAAAGCAAGAGCAAATATCAAGAGAGAACTATATTCAAACATCAGTGCTATAAATTAGAATTCTCATCCTTTCACCTTGGTCTTGAAAACTCATGTATGACAATAGGAAAGTAGTTATATCTTGCCCCCTTTGCACATGTTCTCAAAGCAGAAGCATCCTTAGAATTTGTCACAATGAAAGCATTGAGCAACTTCCCAATGGCTTGTTCAACAGCAGGAGCCCATGTATCACCATTGACCAATGTCTGCAGTGCATAATCATAAAACGAACAACAGTTGCCAAACAGTTCTCCAGAATTTTTCATTGATACAGAGAGAGGACACATATTTGTGCTTATCACAAACCCAAAAAAAGGATAACTCAAAAAAAAAAAAAACCCCTCCAAATTCAGAAAAGACAGGATCCAGATTCAAATCAACAAGCGTTTCTAAGTGACTTTTTCAACAAGAATCCCTCAACTCAATTTATCCTAATATTGCTTCAAAACAGTATAACATGTTATGTCATTCCCACAAGCAATTGTTCTTTCAGATTAAATGTGCCCCAACTTGCCCACACCATTTCCATGGCAAAAGAAAAGTTCAAACAATGTAAAGATATTTACAAAGAACATCCAATTGGATATCTTTGAGATTGGAAAGCTTAAAAAGTTCCAGCATTCTACATCCAACCCCAAATGAACAAGCAGATATTATATAAAGCTCTAGTTTTATAGTTCATTGGCACAGGAACCAAACAACTAGAGCACAAAATTTTCTGTAGCTATTTTCCGTTACCACATGGGCTCCTATTGGACCAATAGGTGGCATTGTAAATTTGTGATGATGCCTCTCAATTTCACGTAGAAGACGAAGCACCCCATCTCCCCCAAAAGCTGTAACCTGTCAAAAAAACATGGAAGAAAATCACAAGTTCAGAGGCACCCATAAAATGTGCAGTGAGAAAACAAGACATTCATCATCACTACGTTTATCAAAGACCAATAAAGAGAAAAGAGTTGCACAGACCCTGTTGGTTTGATGCAGCTGAAGCTCACGAATTTGACAATCGATCTCACGCTGCTTCTTTTCATAGTCTTTAATCTATAGAAGAGAGAAAACCAGATCAATGATGTGAGTGTAAGGAAAGGATCTCTAGAGGCTAATTGAGATAAACAAATTTTGAATTTTCAAGAACTTAATCTGCACATAAATACACTAAAAGCAGTTTGCATATGGGGAAACTAACTCCTCCAAACAATTGAACACATGACAAGGATAAGAAATCACTTCAGTCAAAATCAATCATATCTAGAATATTTCCTAAGCAATAGATTAACTTCTGAATATTCCATAACTTTTACTTGGCATGAGATAATGCCGAACCTTTATATGTTACATGATCTTTTATCCTCTAAAACCTTTACCATTTAAACACACTATAAAAGGTTTATACTTAGCAGACATCTAGCTATCAAACATAACATGAGCATATATCACCACGAAAGAAAACTCCATTTTATAAGTCATTTAGTCATTTCACTTGTGCAACATAAGAGCACTACCATGTCAACTCCAACAGGCCATTAAGTAAAAGCACAAGCTGAACTGTCCCAACATCAGACTTCTAAGAGCTACAAAAACATGATAAACTTCTATGTTGACTGTAAAGAAAGTGAGGGAGGGAAGTAACTATGAAAACATGATAAACTTCTATATTGACTGTAAAGAAAGGGAGGGAAGGGAGTAACCCCAAAAAAAATTTGCAGTTATTGCCTGATTGTGAATTTCAGCTACACTGCATTGCTGGGAAGAGCAGTAATGAATTTGAGCTACAGTAACATTGCTCGAAAGAACAATAACAAAGATGGCTTAAAAATGCCAACTGCATGCCCTTCCTTGGAAAATAAGAATAGAGGTAGTGTGAAATCAAATGAAGGAAACAAAGATGAAAGAAAAAGATCAAGCATACATTTTGATATTTGAAAACAGCAGCATACTCCTCTTCTAGGGTTATATTATATAATCATATATCAATTGCAAGAAAACCATTTAAAGAGAAATATGCAACCCAAAGAGTATCACAAAGTCAAAATGGAAAAGCAAATTCTCATCAATATGCACGTTAATAATCTCTAGCATTCCCTATACCTCATCATTAATCGTCTTCATTACATCTGCTTCTGTTGAAGCATGTTCTGACAAAGTATTTTCCTCATCCTTTAAACTGAAATATGATGATATTTTAAAGGTCAAAACAGATCTAGAATAACAACGGGAACAGGAGCGTAAGGAATAACAAAATAATGAATAACCTAGAGAGTATTGATTTGACATGATCAACTGAATATTCAAGTTCTTTAATCTGTTCCTCTATTTCTGATTCTTCAGCCTGCAGATCAACAAAATTAAAAGGTAAATCCTCTATTTCAATGATGTATACCAAAATTAAACAATCCACTCACCAGCCACTCTAGATGACCAGACCAAACTGCTTGTCAAACAACTAATAGATAAGGAAAATCGAACAAAATAAGGACTCAAACAACAGAAGCAACAAGGTATAGCCATTTTCAATTGGATGGGAAAAGGTTATCAGCAATAGACCGGGGACAACCCCAGTGTAAGAATATGATGAAATAGTATGTCAAGAAGCAATGAGAACAACAGCTTCAATATATCAAGAAGCAATGAGAAGAAAAGCTTTAATATAAGAACAAAAGCTTGGAAAGCATTAAATACCATACTTTTTGTGCTACCAATGACAAAGAGATTACCATGAATAAGAACCACCAAAGATTTCTTATACAATCATGAAATAAGGTCAAAGTTGAAAACATGGCATCAGATATAAAATTTTTTTTTTGAAAGATATAAAATAACTGCCCTTTGGCTTTATATATTGCAAGGCTAAGCCCTGCCAGGGTCCAGTCTAGATATAAAAATGACCTTATTCATCTTCTACTTATATACATAAAAACGGACATCCTTTTTCTTGCTGAAGGAAATGGTACAAGGGATCTTGTACTTAAGCACGGAATAAAAATATCCTTCACAGCATACCAAATTCAAAAATGAAGAAAGAACACATAATACATAAATATTATGAGAGCAAAAGCAAAATTCTATACATAATTATTAAAAAGAGTGTTCCTCACCACTACAAACAGTCAAAAATAAATAGACTAGTCACATAGAAGAAAAAATATTAGCACAAGGCAAAAAAGACCTGTGTATTTCTAAAATGTTTCTCCTGAATATCACGGGCTTGTTCTTTAAGCACCCTAACATTATTCAGCATCTTCTGAATTTGCTTAGTGCTGCGGCCATGCTCTTCTTCTAGCTCAAGCTTCTCTTTTGTTGCCTAAGATGAACAAAAGATGTAAATTCAGGAAAAAAAAACAAAACAAAACCAAACCGTACAAGAAATATAAATACTATGACCAGATGAATGATATCACAACATATGATCATAAAAGCTTATACAGATATTATAAGATACGATGACAGATTCATGAACGGCCAAGAAATAATAAGGAAAGAGTTCTTTAAGAAAACTAAAACTTCAGCTTGCCTATTTAAATTCAAACATGACTAAACCAATTATAATGGAGACTTGTTCAATATCCACCTTCAGCTAGTTACATCAGAGAGATAAAAGTAAAAAAACCTGATACATGGTACTTACCTAGTTACAGTAATAACAAGCCTAGCAACAAATAAAAGATAATGCAAGTAAAGGAAAAAGTACTTTGAATGGCTAACAACATAAAAGAATGATCTGTCTTTTGACAAAAAAAGGAGCAAAAAGATAGGAAACCATTAATGTACCACACAAAAAGCATCCCACAATTCATCTTTTCTTCTCCTCACTACAGATGTCTTTTCCACCAAACATGCAACTTGATCTTTCTTCTTTGAGAAGTGTTCCTGAAACTTCTCCAAGTTATGCTGCAAAATAATCAAAATTTTTCAAGGTCAATAAACAAGATCTAAATTTTTAGTAGACTTCCTAAAAGAAAATAATAGATAATCGAGGACAATAAGCCTTCATTATCGTGACTCAGGCAGACATTATCAGCCTAACCAACCAACAATAAATGCAAAGCTGTCCTTTTACTTCGTATTTAAAGATTTCACACTGACATTTAAAAAAGAACAACTCAGACGAGTTGTTATGACATGTTTTAGGTAAGACATATCACTCACCAATATTGAATCTATTTTAGCTTGGCAAGTGGGTATGCGGTCTTTCAGCTTTTCAATCTTAGCTCCTTGCTCCTGCAACTGCCTGTCCACATCACACACCCATGACCAGGCGAGCTTTTTTTTTAACTGTTGCACCTCCCGCGATATCTCTTCTACACGCTCCATGTTTTTAATCTTTTCTTGCAGCTCACTGAGTTCAAGCTGAATGGGTCTTATCAAAGTCTCCAGCTCATCAACAAGAGCATATGCATCCTTCAATTGTTTGATGATTGTTTGTAAAAGTTCATCAACTTGTTGAAGAAGCGTAGCCTTAAAAAAGAACTGAGTAATAAAAAGCGTCAGCATGACGCTCAAAAGATTATTTTCAGAATAAAAAGTTGCAAGTAAGTTAATAAACATTACCTTGAATTTATCTTTGTCATTCCCAGAATGCAAAAACTCCCTGCTTTTGTCTTGACTCATAATAACACATGGATTCTCAACATCAATCTACAGGAGGTCGAGTGCAAAATTTCAAAATATGAGTGTATTTGAGCTCACAGGAAAGTATAATTTAGCCCGGTAAGAATCACCAGTAAGAAAGTTAAAGCATACTTGTTAGGCCAAACACTCACATTGAAATGTTCAACCAGCTCACGAAGATCCTCCTTTCGACTAGCAACTTTTTTACCTGTACAATGCCTCAGAAGTAAAACAAGATCAAGCAAATACAATCACCTCTTGCTTCAATCATTTAGCCCCACATGTGCAACCAAAACAAGAACAAATAACATGAGACGAAATAAACGAAACTCATGACCATCTTGTATACTCCAACACATACACAAGTAGACAACATTTGACAAAAATCTTGGGTCAACAAATTATTAACACAAGGAAATGATTCAAACCTTGACGATCCTTCATAACAGTGGAGCTTGTCGAGTCAGAAATCCTGCGTTCAATCATTATGTAATCACCGTATATTTCTGGCCGAAAGGCATCCACTCCTTCATTTTTAATTTCCACTTGAACAATAGCATAACTGAGAATTAAAAAATATAACAGATATATCAATAGATTATCCATGATTTTTCAAAAAAAAAAACTAAACTAATAAAAAATTGAAAAACAAAAAACTAAAACAGAAACCTGCAACCAGTTTTTATAAATTCTTTCAACTTAGACGCCCTTTGAGTATCTTTAGCACGGCAGCCAAACGCAATACATAAAGCGGTCAGTATCGCACTCTTACCGCCTACGGACAGAGAAAACCAAAGGGCATGTCGTTCACGTTACAATTTTTTTCAAAAACCAAAAAAAAATAATCATTTTCTACGAAAGTAACGGACATAAAAAAAGAGAGAAAGACGAACTTCCATTTTGACCGGTGATGAAATTAACCCCCTCGCAGAGTTCGATTTCGAGACTACTATGGCACATGAAGTTTTCTAACCGGATCCTCTTGATGGTACCCGCCCCGGATCTTTGTCCGCCGTAGATTTGATCGGGTAATACCCTAGAATAACTCATGATTGTATCCTAGGGTTCCCGATCGTGAGAACCCTAGAATTTTGAGACGAGATAGGACAAGAAACGGCAAATTAGAGCGGTGAAAACTGAGAGGAAAGAAGTGACAGTACCGGCAGCCGTGAGTAGGGAGTGTTTAAGGCGGGAACGAGGAATGGTAGTGTGTACCCGGGTCTACTTCACACCAAAGACGACTTCCCACGAAGCTTGTTATGGTGTATTCAGATAAAATCTTGACCGTCTATTTTTTTAAGTCGGTTTAGGTATGGTAGGCCTGAAATTGGACTATAAAGTTTGGTGGGCCCAAATAGCCAGGATATTCTCAGCCCGGTTCAAATTTTGTATGTAGTAACCGATATTTGGAAAAAATTATTTATCTGAATGACAATTAGATAAATTTCACATATACCGCTTATAATTTTTATTTTTTACACATTAAAACTTATGTCTTCTTTTTTCTCAATTAGAATGCTATAATTTTTTTTAATTAGCAGTTTGATAACTTTTATTCTCACAAAAATTAAGCTACTAAATTTATTTAATAAAATTACAAAAAATTCTTGAGTGTGAATAAATAAGTTAACATTGAAGTAAGGATATTTGGATAATTTTATAGAACAAAATTAACAATTTAATCTTTTATGATCTAAAAACTATCTACAAGATACTAGTTGAAAAAAAATATTCAAAAGGTATTAATTGAAAAAAATCATAATGCATCATATGAAAAAAAGTTGAAATTAGAAAAGATTTAAATGAAATTACTCATAAAAATTTTATTGCCCAGCTCAATTTTCGCCAAAAATTAATGGAGCTGAAATCAAACAAGAAATCCAAAATTTTATTCAAACTCAAATCTGGCTCGAACATGTCTCCTCATAAATGAATAAGCTTGAACAAATCTAAGCTCGGCTCAACTTGATTCATTTACATCTTAAGTTAACATAAAACCTTCGTTATTAACTTGAAATCTTATACTTGTTTTTCATATAAAAATACATTTAAATTCAACTTAATTTTGTTTGATTATAAGTAACTCCAATAATGAATTCAAACTCAATCAAAGTTTAAATTTCAAACCCGAAAAAAAACTACAACATACATGGGTTTTAATTACACTATTTTAACTGCACTTTCATTTTTGCATTTAAAGAATTTGCCACAATATTTAAAATTTAAAATTTAGATGTACTTTTTACTTTGCAACTTATAAAAAATTAATACCTTTTATGTTTCTTTGCTGTAATTAAAATATAACACCCTTGCATCTTACTGTCTATAGTCTCTCTTTCTCTTAAATTGGAAATCCCCTTAAATGTAACAAAAAAAAAATAGAGTCAAAATCTTTCAATATTCAAACTTCAAAAAGCTCCAATTCTTTTGAAACACTGACCCTAAATTCTTTGATTCTTTGTCTTCCCCTATAATTAAAACCCTGATCTCAATTCATTAAAAAATTCCCCTTTTTAGAGCAAGGTGTAAGGTTCCGTAAACATCAAAGGTGTCTTTTCTTTAAACTTTACGATCACATAAAGAAAGAACATCTGCCTTCTCTCCTTTCGCTGCCATTCACGTCGCCGGCCACTGTCAAGAACCCCTCTTTCTTCTCCTCTCTCTGCTATCTTTCTATCCATCTCTCTGTATATTTTTTTTGGATTGCAGATTTACTTTATTGTAAATTATGTTCTTTTTGTCTCTATTTTTCTTTTTCATTAATTTTTCTCTCTTTTTTTTTTTTCTACTTGATGATAGTTAATGTTTTCTATTTTGTTTTCCTTTAATTGTAGGAGTGAGATGACTTTAATTGCTTGACAATCTAACGTAGAAAAGTTTATGGTGCTTTTGTCCTTTGATTTCGTTTCTGTATATATATAATTTTTCATATGTAGATAATTTTTGGTTGCTTCATCTATTAGCAAATTGCTTTGCCCTTTGCTTTGTTTCTTAAATATTTTTTGTGGTATCTTCATAAATTTGTTTCTTTTACTACTTTCCATTTTTTTATTACCTCTTAGTTGGTTAAAGCTAAAGTGGAAGTAGAGCTTAGCATGCCATTTTCAATGTTTTAGTATTGAATTATTTGAATAAAGCTAAGGGGTAATTCAAATTTTTTTTGTTTACTTTTTTAGCTTTATTTTTTAGTTCCTAATGGGAGGATCTAATATAATTCAACTGAGATTGTAAGTTTTTCTAGGTTTTTCATATAATTTACATATGAAATTATGATGTATAAAATCTCAAAGCACATGAACTAAATTAACTAGTTATAAATAAACGGATTAGATTGATGAAAAATTTAATAATATAAAGACCTGTTAAGATATAGGAAAATTGAGATAGATTTTGAAAAAACTACATGAAAAAAAGTGAAAAAAAAAATCTCTTTTGTGTTTTTTATTGGATTTTCCTACCACTAGAGATTGGCAGTCGACAGTCAGCAACAACAACTATTGACGACTGAATTTTGGGTTTGAAGCTCAACCTTAGTCTAGAGAGAAAAGAGAGCTAGAGAAGGAAATAAGGAAAAATGGGAAAAAAAATTTAAATTTGCTTTTAGTAGTCTCATCAAAACGATTTAGTTATGGACAAAAGAGAAGAAAAAAAAAAGGCAAAATATTTTTTACTTGTCAGCATCTTTAAATGGAGTTAGGTAAAGGGGTTTAATTGCGTAAAATCTCAAAACACATTGACTAAATTATTCAGTTATTGGTAAATGGATTAGATTGATCAAAAACTTAATAATACAATAGATCTGTTGAGTACTTTAACTAATTTTAATTTAAGTATTTACTGAACAGAATCTGTACATTTTTTAAATATTATGACTCTTTCATATCATTAATTGAAATGAAATTTTTATAATTATTTATCTCAAATTGGAAAAACTTAATAAATAATTTAATATAAAATAGTTGAAATTATTGTTTTCTTCAAACAAATTTATCGTCAAAATTATCTAAATATATAAATTTAATAATAAGTATATATATATATATATAGGGGAAATTCATTTATCATAATTTTGTCAATAAACAAGATCGAGCAACAAGCAGACGGAAAAGAAATAAGTAGTGCTTGGAAGCAAAACAGAGTGGTGAATCTTTGGCGGAGAAATGAAGAAAATCTGTATTAGGTTCATTGCTAGAAGATCTTCAACAATAGTTGATAACCCAACCTACTCGACGTCGCAGTTCTATTGTTCATCTCTTTCATCTTCCACTCATCCTTTTCCCAATCGGAAACTCTTTGTTGCAGGATTGTCATGGTAAGTTGACGAGAAATTAAAAAATATATTTTTTAATGAAATCATTTAATATAATTAATATTTTTATTTATAAATTAAATAAATTTTATTAATAATTATAACAAAAAATATTTCAATTATCGTCATGAATACATATTTATAAATATATATAAGTTTTAGATGATTTACACAATTGATAAATATTAATATTTTTATAATGTTATGGTAAAAAAAATGATGAGCTGAAAATTTTTATATAAAATTAGAGTTTACTTTCGTTATAATATGTGGTTAAATATTTTAAAAAATATCAATATTGATTTTCTTCATTTCAATTCCATTCTTAATTTAATACCCAAATAAGTGTGCCAGTCGTTAATGAAAAATATTTTTCACAAGATGATTCAAATAATAGAAAATGTTTTTAAAAATTTATTTAAACAATAAAAAATATTAAATTTTCCTTAAAATATTTTACACAAAAAAAATTTCTTATTTTTCGCTTACTAAACAAAACTTAATATGAGGTTTAAAAAAAACTACCAAAAACTTAGCAGCAAGTCAGAACAAGAGAGCAGGACACAAAAATCCCTCTTGACACATCTGAACATTTTTATACTCAAGCATTAAGGTATCATATCATTGAGTCTTGATAAAGAAAAGGGTAAAACACTTTACATTTATGAGTTTTGATCATAATTCCACTATTATTTTATGCGGAGTCCATGAGTATTGAAAATACATAATTCATTTAAAAGGAATATCTTTAAATGGATATAATAAGTTTAATAGTAATCAATCATTAATATTTTTATTAGTTCACGACATGGTAATATGTTTAGAACAGATTTATTTTTCATTAATTTTAAAAATTATTATTTTATAAATTATAATTTTTAATTTTTTTCTGTTTTGTTCAAAAGAAGCTCTTTACCAGTTGATCGAATTTAATCAAAGAGCGCCAATTCCTATCAAATGATTGACTAATCTAAAAAAGAAAAAGAGTTGAAAAGAAAATAGATATTTTAAATATTTTTAATTATTAATACTATTTACGCATTTGAAACAAAATAAAATCAATGAATCTACATATGATCAAAACTTAAAAATAAAGAGAATTTTATCTTAAAGTAAAACCAATCTAAGCTGCCTGAACCATCAGAGCCACCAAAGCCATCTGAGTTACCAGAGCCATCCGAGTAATCGGTAGTCGCAGCATTCTTGACCCGCCGTTGAAACGGGGCCCGTTGGTCAGCATTCTTTGCCCTATCAGAAAATTCTTTCTCAAGCACTCTCACAATGTCAATCAAAGTAAGATTGACCAATTGAATACTCTTATCATCAATGTGCTGTCAGTGAAGATAGTGGGCGCACTTGTCCATTATCTTGATACTTTGCTCAACTCTGCTTTCCAAGGTTTCATAGGTTTTTTAGTTTCTAGTAAAGCTCGTTGATGTCACTAAGAGGAGATTTGTCAGAATCTGGGGAGGAGGTGGTGGAAGGGTAGATTTTGAACAGATGAGGCGGAGCAGACCGCTGGTAAGCCATTTATTCATTGAGTGCATTAAATATTAATTTTAGGTTATTATTATGTTAAATAGTTAAGTAATGGTAATCTGTTTCCAAAAATACCACTATACATGGCAATCAACGCAAGCAGTTGGATTGCACATGGAGAAAAAAAAGTTGAAACAATTTGCTTAAAGGAAAAAAAAACCCAAAAAATTCATGATTTCTTTATCTTTTTCACAATGCCCCATTAAACAATTTATAATCGTAGACAGATGCCTGTTAGTGATTACGATATTTCAGTTTCCTGACGCGATTTATCCCAATTCCAAGTCTCAGATCACAAGTTAGGCTGTTTTGTTGAGAATTTGGGACATATAAGCAAGGGCAATGGCCTTTGGAAGCAACATATATTCCTTCAAGCCTTGGAACAAACTTTC